GTGGTCAACCCTGGTAGTTTTGACCGAAACCTTCACAGGCGTGGAGTTGAGAAAACCACTACAAAACGGTGAATTATAAAGTTTCAAGAATCTTCCCCACTAAAAATAGGAAGGAAGAATAGCAAAAAAATGAAAGTAAAAAAGTGAAAATCGATCGATCCTTTGCAAGACCCGGGATGTTCTCCTTCTAAGAATATGCGTAGAAAAAATATGAAATAAAGTACCATCCTGAACTATCTCAATTTTCAAGGCATTTCGTCAGCAGCCCCACATCTTTGGAGGCTCAGGAAAGCTTAAAAGAATGAAATCGGCCAACCTGTAGGGATATGAGTTGCAACCATTGGTCGTAGAATTCTCTGTCAGTCGTCAGTTTCTCTTCGATTCGCATCACATCTTCAGAAGGAGGACTCGATAAACAGAAATGAACGACACAGAGAAGTATGAACGGGAACATGGCGCGTCATCTACGACACATATCGATCGATTGGTCTGAAAATTCAAAAATTGCCAACGTTACGACAGTTTTTGAGACGGCGAAATGTCGAACGATGAATCGTTGCTCGATGAGCAAGAATATCGAGGCAGACGGCACGAAAACACTTAAGACTTCAATCGATCATCTCGACCGATCAGGGTATCGAATAAGACCAAATAGCCAAAAATTATCCCCATATTGGGAAACCATCATATTCGATTGGCAACCGGCATCTGAGAGGCTGAAAGTTTAGACCCTATCAAATAATGAGAACAATTTTTCCAGTTGCCCTCGCACTTCAAAGCTGTACATCTGTCAAAACGTCCCAGATGAACATCGCGATCCCCCAAGGTCATAAAAACCTTCCATTCTACGGCTCACTCAACAAATTACACCGCACTTCCTATTCCCGATGGTTCCCCGTTCAAATCTTTACCGATTCTGCCCATGACTCAGCTATCCTATCACGGCAGTGCCTTTTACGTAAACATTTGACTAACCTGTTAAACAAATAAGACATCTGGGAAAACGTCCTCGATTCCTTACACATAATTCGCGGGAAATGTGAGAAATACCTTCGTAATATCGAGGAAGAACTGGGAAAATTCAGGGGAGAGGCCTAGAAGGATGTACCCAAAAACGCATGTCGAGGGTCGGATTTTGAAATATTCAACTACTCGTAAAATTATGTGGGTAGTACCATAATAGAAGAGACGGCAATACCAATAATCGAAAAAAAACATAAAGTGATGTCATTATGTTTTCCTTCGACTGTTGAAGAGGGTTGTACCAATCGGCTTATTACCACTCGTCATATGTACACATGGCTGCTGATAAAAGGTAAACCTACAAGGGAGGTCTTTCAGGACATGGAGCGCTTTTTCGAAATGGTTTTCTGCATGTTGTAGGGGCTCATGCGAGGAACACAGAACCATGATCCATTTTTCCTGAACGCCTCCAGGAATGTCAAAACAGTGGTGAAGAAATGGTCCAGAGTTCGATCCCCGGTGATGACTAATTTTTGCAATATAGTTTGGCGCCCCCAGATTGCCGCCAAATGGCGCCATCGTCGAGAATATAGATGTCATTGTCGTGTTCTTGCGGCAATTTGGAGGCGCCAACATAAATTGCAAAAATTTGTCGTCACGGAGGATCGAACTTTGGACCATTTCTGGACAACTTTTCTCCCTATTTTGACATTACTGAGGGGCGTTCAGGAAAAATGGACCATGGTTCTGTGTTCCTCACATGAGCCTCTACAACATTCAGGTAATCATTTTGAAAAAAAAACGCTCCATGTCCTGAAAGACCCCCCTTGTAGAGACATGTATGTATCAGTGAATACTTAATGAGCTGTGATGAAATTTGAGGGGAAACGTGGGTGTTGTGACATCTAATCCTTTTGCTCCTCTGCGTCTCCTTCACAAGGCCAGACACCAGACACTAAGGCCCAAACTTTTGCCACAGGTTAAGTGGCTCACACACCCCCCCACCCCCTGAATTGGCCCCATTCCCCCTGGCTCACGCATTCTTACTTACTAGTTCCGCTACAGTACCAAAGGATTAGAATGTCATACACCGGAAACATGTGCATCTGTAGGGTAATAGAGCACACTTGTCAAAGGAACAAGAGGTGCGGGTTCGAGTCCAGTTGAGGCAAGCGTTCACACTGTTGCAATAAGAGTTAGGGTATTCATTTCAGAGTGGAAGCCACGATTAGCTCAAAATCTAGCTACACTTGTAAGTGGAATATGAACTTTGCTCGTTTATGGAACCTGTGGCTATGGTCAAAGCAGGATAAGGGGGCGTAGTCTAGGACTGGGCCCAAGGGCCGGATTCAATCCTCCCCCAAGAGGTTGTAGGAGGAAAATCCCTTTAAATTTATTTGTTTTCAACGATATAGTTTCTTTATTTTCAGTGCATGCTTACTATGAAATACACACATACATCAAGTCTTATAGCCCTATTATCAGGACAATCCCAGTTGGGAAGACAGAGAAAATTCAAAGGGATTTTCGTCCTCTAACCCTAGGGGAACGATTGAATACCGCCCAGGAGAGGCAGTAACTCCGAAGAAAATGAAAAATGCTCACGCACTCGCAACTCTTCCACCACATAAACGCTTGGTCCCATTTTACACAAGAAAGAAGGTGCTTTGAGTGGTTCCTAATGCATTTCCCCGTATCTTACGATAGCGCCGAAACGAGTGCTATAAACTTGTAGGCCGAGTTCTGAAACTAGTGCGCTCGAGTGTCGATAGTAGCCTGGACAAGAATTAATCTGCAGCCTGCGGAAAAGCAAAAAAATAGTCCTTCGTTCCACTCCAACTACAGATGAGGCCAGTGTTTCGTGCTAAAGTCAATTAAGCGAACCTCGAGCGGATGGAAAGTTTGATTATTCAAGAACCGGCGTGGTGAGCCAATTCAGTGATGAGATACGTCTGACGCTTCACTCTTGACAGCGCTTATCGTATAAAGGAAAAAGGATAAAGCATTTGCCGTTGATCAATCCCTTTTTGGGATGCGGCACGCATTCTACTTCCATTTGTACATTCGCAGTGGCATTTTGAATGCGATGTGGCCTATACAATGACTTGCGGGGGCCAGCCGATGTACAAGTCAGTGTTTTTTATCCTCCCAGACAAGTCTGGTACCAATTAACCGACCCCGGAGGGATGGAAGGCTTGGTTGGCCCGGGCGACTCACGACCCAGGATTTGATCCCCGGACCGCTCGCGTGGTAAGCGCGCCACTTGTCACTACACCACTTCCGCCCTTAAACAGTAATGTAAAGTAAATTAAAAATGTATAATGCGCTGACGTTGATAGTCTATGGGATAGGGCTGCAATAGTGTTGGACAGCAAAATCACTAGTGAGCACTTGAACAGGCACAATTTTGGCCCATATAAAAACTAGCTTCAGGTAGTCGCACCTCACAATCATGTCGTTAGCTGGGAGATAGGGCAGCCCTAAGAATTAAGCTATCGCTTGGAGACAGTAGAACGGTACTGCGGAATACTCATGAACCTACGTGTAAAAAATTGAATTATATCATACTTTTCTTTGCAGAACTTATTTTTTACGATTTGGTATTTACGTTATATATCTTACTGCTACTACCATTTTGTAAACTCCCCTTCAAAAAGCGAGAAAGTGTCGGGTGCAGACCAAACACCACAACTGACGACGGCCTCCAAGTAAATCTGGTTAGAAGTTGTTCATAGTGATAGCTGATTTCTGGTAAATGATAGTTGTAATTAGTGACAATCGATAGAATACAACTGCAACAGCTAATCATTTCATTGGCAGAAAACATTAACATTTTGTGAAGGCCGTCGTCACTTGTGGTGCATGGTCTGCACCCGACACTTTCTCGCTTTTTGGGGAAAGGGAGGGTACACGTTTTTCGCTGACAAGAATAAATTCATTATGAAGTCCTTCAGTATTCAAGACAATTAGAATAGCCAAAACAATTTTACCAAGGAAAATTCTAATCCGTCGGGATGGTTTTCTGTATCTCCACAGAATTCCCAGGGTAGTCTCTTAGTAAAAAATATCCCAGTATTCGTCACTAAGAGAGGTCATGAGTAAGTAGGGTACATCATTGATTGATTTCTCCGAGGGAAATAAAGTTAGAGCTAGTTGTCGGTTTGGTCAATTTTTGTCGGCTGGACCTCCCATTTCGCAGGCCTAAAATTTGAAAACCCTGGAACAGATGGAAGAGAGAACATAGCATTTTGTAGAGCAGACAATTCTCTTTCGAATGGTATATGACGTGTGTAAAAGCATGGGAACGTAAATACAGTTAATAAACAGGGGGAGGCATAGTAAAGGTGGGAAATGAAAGCCTGCCAACACAGTGGTAAGAAAACTAATATGCGAAACATACGTAAAAGGAATCTTTCGCGGAAAATTCTTGCATTCTTTCTTGACATGAATGTGTCAGTTGTGATCACTGGAAACAGCACACAAAGTTTCACGCTCAAAGACTTCGTATGGACAATCGAAGGTAATTCGGGCGGAGCCAAAGGCGAGGCATGGAAAGAAGTCCGCCTTGGGGCGGCTACGTATCAGGCGACGCAATGAAAGAATCGGGTTAAAGCGCGCGATTTCGGAGAGTAGAGACAAATCGATCGATAGAATAGGATGGAGTAGAAGTGTAAGATGTGAATGCAATAAAGCAGAAGGCCAGAAAGAGTTTCTAGTGAAGGCACTCCAAGAACCAAGTGGAAGCATCCCCGTCGCCAGCATTTGTGAAAGACGTCCGTGGGCACTTTGAACGCGTAGCAGCCCTTTCGATTTTTCGAATTTTTTACCAAAACAAAAGCAATATTTCTGTTCTTTTCATTCTTATCGTGGATAATGAGTCTCAAGCCAGTGATTTATGGCTGAAATAGAATCATGATTTTTCCGCGCAAGATTCCTTTAAGAAGTGAAATATAATAGTTACAAAACACGTCGACTCAGGGAGTTTGGATCGTCAGAACGTGGATCAATTCTAAAGCGAAGCGACAAGAATCTGTTTTTCGCAAGGAAATGGAGCGGAACGAAATGACTCGTCTGAGAGCAAACGGCCTCAGATATCTGTGTGCAAATTAGGTAAAAATCTCGAATGCTGCTGAAATGCTAAACTGCTCGCTGCCTGTAGAACGAGATCTTTCGATTTGCAATACAAATTGGTTCACGCAAGTCAGAGTCCTTCAGAGCT